TTAAATCACTGTGGACTTTCCCAGTCTCCTGGGGAAAACCTCTTCCTTTTGGCTGTCTGATCTTGTTTCTCTTCTGAATGTATTTAGAGTGGAAGCTGGGAAGAGCAGCTCTTGTCTTACCTGTACAGGTTGTGGCTTAAAAATGCCCCGTCTATGCCTATATTTCACTCCAGAGTGTGCTTTATTGTACTTTGAATGTTGATCTGCAGAATAAATGTTTGGGATTCTCACCTCCTTTGTTCCTTACTAAAAAGTGGACGCTTCTAAAAGTAAATTGGATAGGGAAAAAATGTGAGGTGATTGAAAAAGTAGTGCTCCAGGCTGGCTATAATTAACTGCTCTTTGTCTCTTGCATGCAGGACAAGTCATGGCTTAGGCTGCTTGATGGTGGGGAACTCCCTGCAGTGGGCATGGCTCAGCATGAGGAGAGGACAGAGTGGCTCTTGGCAGGGGATCCCCATTGTGAAGGACTCGCAAAGCCAAGCGCATCCCTGCAAAATGAGAGGGGACTTACTTCCTACGATTTGGTTAAGAACAGTCTTAGGGGCAGTTTTCTTTGTTTAACATCAGTCTACAGAATTAGGTGTAAAACTGAAGTCTGGCTAAGATACAATGAAGAGCGGGAAAAAACCCACCTTGGGCAGCATGCTTGGGTGGGTAAAGATGACAGTCCAAAGCTTAGGTGCCTTTCAACAATCAGGAAGGTTGAGCCCCAGCACTGAGCGAGTGGCTGTCACGGGAGCGCAGCCTGTGTGTGCCAATGGCTCAGCCAGCACCCCCAGATACTGGTTCATTGCCAATAGATGTGAAAAGTCATTCACAGATTATCTGGGGTTTACAGCTTCCTCAGACCCTTCTTAAAGAGCTCTTGAAGGATGCAAATCAAACAGTTGCTCCTTCTGCCTTTCCAGCATAAGGGACATTCAAGCCTATCCTTATAAGCCCTTTAGGCTTCTGTTATGTCTGCCTGAAACAGAAGAGACTTTTGAATGGGATGAAACAGCTAGGCAGAGGGGTCTGCTTATTCCCCTTGAAGGACAGAGATGTTTATAGCTACAGTGAGGCTTCCTCCAAGGAAACTCTGAATTACAGTTAATGTTAGTTACAGCTCTCTTTC